TTTAAACATTTTCCTGTAAACTGCCACAGTGTGTCTTGTGTAAAAATGGTTTAATGCACAGGGTCTGGTTGCCAGCTCTCATTTCCTCCAGCTTCTATCTGCCTTCTGGAAAAGAGGTCAAACAAAATGCAGTGGCAGGTAAGGATGTCCCAGCAAACATACGGAGAAATGGAGCTTGCCCTTCCATAAATTAACGTGACTCTGTTCATAAGTCGCCTATTAGGATGTTTTATTGATGAGTAAAAATGATGTTTAAGGCCATAGTGTGGATCGCATCTTACAATGTTGCTGGCTATAAAGATGTCATCTCAAATAAATTTCTCAATTAGAAAGTATTGACAAAAATATTTAATCTTTTTGCATAAAAATAAGCTCAAACATCTGCTGCCAGAGTCAGACAATATCAAGCAATCTTTTGGAAGTATATTTTTATTATACTGACAGATGCATGGCTGCATGACATAGATGTCAATTTAACTTACTAGTGCCATTAATACTTGACAAAGACATGCTCCCTGAAGAATTTGTGTTTTTAAAATGTTGTCAGATAAGTGTATCCCAACCACAAGTAACCAGAGTTATTCAGCTGTGTTGTTAACAAAGCTAAAAGCCTGTTATCTCCAGGGACATCACAGAAGTATGGTATTGGCTTCAGTTTATTTTTTAAAATCCAACAGAATTGACAGGAGAAAAAAAATGTTTTTATTGCATATAAGCATCCATTTAAGCAGTATAACTTTTTTTTTTTTTTTTTTTTTTTTTTTTTTTACTTTTTAAACCCTTTGGGTTAGAGTGTAGGAAGATTTTCAGTTTCATTGGAGGTGAACCTCTTCAGCATTCATTTGCTTTCCACAAAATTTTAAATAATCCTACTTTTTGGCAAGGATGTTGTAAAGAGAACACTGAAGAAAATGTCAGGATGCCAGACATCTGACAATTCTGCCAGAATTTTTGGCCTGTATGTTGAGCCAAAAAATATTGGGAAGGCATATGACTTAACTTATTAAGAAAGCTGAAATGTAAAACATTCATATCCAGTTCTTACTTATCAAGTATATTTGTTATCCAAATTTGTAATTTTAGAAACTGGATATTTTGTTGCTGGTATTTTGTGATGGGAAACTAAGTTTACCCTAAATTCTTCTCTCAAGTCTTCCGGCACTTCCCCTAAAGTGTTTTGGAGAGGAATTTGGTTTCCTAGAGCAAGACATGAGCTTGCTGGGTAGGAGAGACTCGTGGAGTTTTTGTTTTTAGTAGTGCTATGCTGGTGCTGGGTGAAATAGAATTAAAAATCCAGTTCTTTGAGGTGCTGAGACAAGTAAAGTCTGGCAGTTTCTGGTTGAATGCAAGGTCATAAACATCTCATTAAGGGCCAAATCATTAAGCTCAGTGGATGGGTACAGGTGTGGAGTGGGGTTTTTTTTTGTTGTTGTTTCTTTTGAATCAGTGCTGTCCTTAGAGATGAGCCTCGACTTTGTAGAAATGCTGTTTACTTCAAATAATTCTTCAATACTTTAAGGCTGATCTGCCTCGCACTCTGGAGGTTGGTACTCCTTTTACATTGCAGATGTGCAGGGTCTCCTGTGCTGCAATTTATCTCACCCTGAAGCCAGTTTTAAAATACACCATGGGAATTTCTCCAAAAATGTTCCTGTTGTCCTCCTTGAAGCCTATGATGTGAACTGGCTCAGGTGGATGTAATTATAGATGGGCTCTTGCTTCTGCTGCACCTTGCAAGTGACTGTGATAGCGAAGTGAGGTGTTTTGAATGAAGCCTGACACACTATCATCAGGAAGGTACGTTAGTCATGGCTGTCTGACCATTTTATGTCGTAACTCTTCTTAGCTTAAGTCAATACATATTAAAGTTATATTTTTCAAGTCTATTTTTACTGGATTTTGTGCAGGAATCTGTTATAGACTGCAATTTTTAAGGCCATAATTCTAGGCAAGTCAGGCGGATCAGCTTGAAAGGATATCACGGGGAATGAAGTGAGGCATGAGAAGTCTTTACTTCTCACTTGGGGCTGCTCCTACTTGTTTGGTTTCCTGTGCCTTGGTAACGAAGTAGTCTTCCTTTCTTCCCCCCCCCGCCGCTCCATTTTATATGACTTCAGAATCTTCAGCTCTACAATAGAGACATGAAGCTGAGTCTGGCCATGAGGGATTTACTGTTTGCCCAAAGATGTTGCTTGTCATGTGTGCCGCTTATATGGAGCTGTGCATACATGCAGGGTAATGGTGCAACCTGGACAGCAGTGACCATGTGGACTGCATCAGGTTTTGGAGAGTGCCACAGGTGATGGCCCCTACCTAGATAATCCAACTCCCACAGCAGGAGTTCGTTTCAAGGTGTTTTGCTAGGCCTAGCATTTTGGGAGCACTGAGGGATAAAATTCGTTTCAAGGTGTTTTGCTAGGCATTTTGGGAGCACTGAGGGATAAAATTCAAGTGTGGATTAACACTGGGGGCCTGGGAAGAGAGGCCATGTTTCCTCCTGCGTGATGTGGTGTGATGAGATGAGAACTGTGTGGCTGGGCCGACCTGCCCTCTGAGTCCAGATGAACTGCAGTGCCTCACAGCCGAAGGGGAACATGGCAGCATTGAGGGCTCTGGCCAGAAATCACTGTCCTGGTGGTGCAAAGTGGCAAGTTGTTGCCTTGACGGTAAGGTTTCCCCAAAGTGGAGTATAGTTCACTGAACCTTTTGGGTATGATCTAAAAAATCAAAAATAGTAGCTCTTGATTTTTGAGTGAGACATTATCTTTCTGGAAACAATATTGCAAATACCATTCAGTCATGGCCTTTCCTGGCATCATAGGAAAGTGTTTTGATATTTCTTCTGTTATGTAAGCATAATGCTTTGGGGTTTTTTTTAAGTCTATAAATTATTACTGCATTTCAAATAGCTTTAATAGATGCACTGCAGCCAAAAATCTGTTTGAAATGTTGTTGCTGTTTCTATAGAGAACTGTGTGATGCTGACTTGTATTACATGTCATTAACATTTATAAAAATATTGGAAAGGTGAACATTGTTGGAAAACTTTAATGAGAGAAACATAATTCTCTGAGAAGCCAGCAAATAAGAGGTTACAATGGGAATGTTGGCTGGATATCAGAAGAAATGTTTTACAGCAGTGGAAACTTTTCTAATAGCAAAATTTAGCAGACTTTAGATACATCCCTCAAAAGTAGTATCTGAAATCCTAGAATTTGACTTGTCATTGAAAAACAAGAATAGAAATTACAGGTTCATCCTACCATGTCAGAAAATAGTAATGGTGAATGGCAGATTCATGGCATTAGATAACATTGCTGTTATTTTCTTCTGATCTTTGGAAGCTGCTGTAAAAATTTCTGTTCATTTTTAGTTTGTCTTTAATCCTGAATTTCAGTGAGGGCAAAAGCAGATAAATACTGAGAAATTGAAGTTCAGTGGCACTCTGCAGTTTGTCTGCCCACATATTCATTACTATTATTATTGCATCTTTTCAAAGGCAGTTTCTGTATGGCAATATTTGCTCTCTCATTTTTGTTGTGCAGTAGAACAACAAAGTAGGTACCATGGTGATGTGTTAGCAAAATAATTGATTAATAGGGTGGTCAATGTGTGAAAGTTAATGGAGAATCTTGAGCTGAATGAGCAGTTTCAATAGCCAAAAGGGAGATGACAAACCAACCCAACCAGTCCTAGGCTGTATAATCCATGGAGTTTAGTTTGCTTTATTTTGAGAGGTATGGTCAGTTATACTGGATATACAGGAGCATATTTTTTCCTTTACAAAAAGCTAGAGTTGCTGCTTGAGTTGCTGTAAAGATGGTACTATTAAGGGTATATGATGCTCATGGATCCTAGGTAGGCTTTTTTGGTTATAACTTTTGCTTGCCAGTTAAGACGGCTTCAGTGCAGGGTCAGGGCATGTGGGCTGCAAAGGAAGTGGATGTTAAAGGTGAACAAGGGAAACAAAAGTGACCATTTGTCAAAAAAAAAAAAAAAAAAAGTAGAAGTCTCCCCCCCAAAAGGGGTGGGGGGAAGCAGCAGGGAATTTGCTCTTTAAAACTTTTAAATTAGAAAGCACAGGAGGTCATAGAAACAACAACTTCTTACAGTAAGAAGTTTGGATGGAAGAAGCATATTCTGTGTATCTTACCATCTGCTTTAGTCCTTGAGGAGTTTGCTCCCTTACTTCTCCTTCCCTCATCTGCAAGCCCTACAAAAGAGCAGTGACCACCCTTCTTCCCAGTGGTTTTAGGTTTCCAGTTGCATTATCATATGAAGGGAATTTGTTCCCTACATGGCTAAAGGATGACTCTTCATTCAAGGCAAGTTTAGAAGCTTTGGCTTTTCTTCCCTTTTTGCTGAAGCTGTGGCAGGGAAGTGTTTGGTGAGAGTCCAGTTGCACTGGCTTACCTTGAATGGCCATCTTGGATCACTGTATGCTGAAAGTTGCTTTCCATAAATGATTTATCTCTTTTTGACATGGATAGCTGGTGGATGTGTTACAGAAGTAATTAAGCATACTAACTTAATAGAAAATAATGATAAAACTCCCTTTGATTTCAGTGGGCTCACCATCGTCCTTAAAGGTTCCTGGCTTAGAAAATGAGCAGATCTAGTCATAAGGTGCCTCAAAGACTTTAAGTTTCTCTAAAATGAAAGATGGTTTCTTTCCTTTGTTAATCAGAAAGAAATATTGTTTATAGAACTATAAATTCAAGATTACAATTTCAAGAACTATTCAACACGTAAAGCTTTTGCTTTTTATTTATTGATTGCATAGATTCAAATATATTGCAAAATATTGTAAAGGTAAACACTATGCCTAGAATTTGCTTAAATAGAAAGGTTGTGTTTATTCTAAGTGTTCTTGGTTAAGTGCGGAGTAACAAAGTCTCTGAAACAACAAAAATGGAAAACCGTATGTCATATTTCTCCTGGGTTTTAGATCCACATATGTTTAGGAAACTCAGTGCTAATGATTCTCCTTTTCTTTCTTACAGCTAATTCCAGCCTTCTTGGAGGTGGAGGAGGTAAGTCTTTGCTTAATGCTGCCTTTACTCTTAAATGTATGCGAAATATATGCTGAAGAAATGTAGAGCTTAGTTGTTTATAAAACAACATGTGGCATGTCCAAAGGATGGAAATGTAAAAATACTAGATGGGAAAAGTCATCTCGATTATCCTGCTTATGTGCAGTCCGGACATGAGGTTTGTGCATGTCCTTGAATCTAGCTTCCCTGTGGTTTCTATTCACCCTGGTCTTTATAGGGGGCTGACTGAAAACATAACCAACTGAACAGCGTCACCTTATATTGCTTCTCAATAATTAGGACTTGTACTTAAGTTACTTCAATATATGTTCACTTGCTTTTCTAAAATTATATGTTAAAAAGATGAATATAAAGCTAAAAATCATTTTAGTAAATTAATGAGGCTTTTGCTTTCAAGATTGTTTTTTCTTTTTAGCTGGACTTTTACTCTTTTGTGTTTGCTGGAAGAATCAAGTTAGATTTTGATACAAATCTCCTGTGCGTTACCGCACAGATGCTACCAAAATACCTGCAGAGCAGACAAAGAAGTAGGTGTGCATAGAGTGAGTCTTGTTTGACAATGTTTGCTGTTTTCTTCAAGTAGATTGGTGCCACTTTGCTTTCTGTGACACCATAGTACTGCGACCGTGGCGGCTTACTTGAGTGTTAACAATTCGGGGGGAAAAAAAAAATGCAGTATTAGATTTCACTTTTCTGTTCCTTGCCCTGCCTCCCAGAGGGAAGGGAAGGAGCTCAGTCCTGTGGATTTCACAATGTAGTAGCAGTGCGGGCAGCTACTAATCTTTCTTCCTGGCTAGAGTTAAAAGGACTTGAAGATCAGAGCTTACATATGCAAGGGTAAAGGAAAGGGCCCTGTGAAAATATAGAAGATTGCCCTAGCTTGTGAGACTGAGGATAATCAGTCAAGGCTCTTGTTTTAACAGCCTTAACAGAATAAGCAGCTATTATCTGTGGGCCACGAGCAGGGGATTGTCACTTGAAAAGGTGCTTCACGACTGTAGGGAGACATTTAAATAAAAACTGTTTGTGTTTCTTAGTGAGGTATCTGGTCATTAAAGTACAGAGAAGCCTTTCCTGATAATCCTGTTGGATTAATCTATTTCTTCTGATTTGTCAACTGTTTGTGGTGTACCAAATTTTTCTTTGTTTAAAGTATAATCCTTCAGAAGGTAATCCTTTACTAGTGATTCGTGTACCTATGAAGCCATTGTTGTACCTTGGCTTGAGTACTTATTCTCAGCTGGTAATTAAAAAAAAATGCAAATATTCAAATTCCAATTCCCCCATTGTAACTACAAGTCAGGCAGCTACATGATTCAAAAACTGATTTTTGTGACTATATCTGACCATGTTTTGTCTGGTAATCATAGAAAGGGAAGGATGCTTGTTCAAAGAAGATAAAGCGTTTTGAAATAGTTTTCCGAGGGAATAGAAAAACAAGCTAATGAGGTCTCCGATACAGAAGCAAGCAGCATTCCTCGCAACCACTGTCCCATCTGGACATCCAGAACCAGAGCCAAATTGTTCTCTGCCACTGAAAGTATCTTTCTGAATGGAAAATTGTGGGTGTGGTTTTTTTATTTATTTATCTTACTCAATTCTTTAATACTTGGTCTGATTTTTTTCCTGGAAGAGTATCTGTGAAGTCAAATTGCTTACAGCAGTCACTAATTCCTTCTCCTGGCATTTGTCTTGTTTGAGCACCTATGTGTCTTTTGCCACTGCTTTGGTTCAGTCTGCTTGCGGAATGACAAAACATGTGATGAAGCAGCTCTCACAGATGTTTTATCCAAATCCTTTAATCTCCAGTGGAGGGATAATCCTGTATCCCCTTGCTTGAGGTAGAAGTAAAATAACCAAATAGACTATTGTGTAGCTTAGAGTGTGACTGATAGCAAAGGCAACAGTTTAGTACTAAGCACTGTGAGGTGACAGTGGGCCACCCTCAGTCAGGTTTCCCTCTTATTCCAAGTCTCTTTGACTATAAAGTAGACCAATTTTATGGTTTCCATGTCTCTTAAAGAAAAATCCTGAAAAGAGAAGCATCTTTTTCTGTGTACTT